CTTTGCTCGCGTCCAGTTGCGGTGCATTGGCAGTCACACTCGCAACCTCCTACAACAATACTGACCGTCAATTGACACCGTCTCATCCCCAGGTTCACCCATCAAGCAATCGATCTCCACTTCAGCTGCCCACAATGCCCACCGAGTACGAGGAAAACGACGTCGAGAGCTCAGCCGCGGGCGCCGGCGCCAGCGCCGATGTCGAGATGGAGGGCGCCACGGCTGTCGCGGGCGACGAGACGGTCGTTGCCGAAGAGACTGTCGTTGCCGAGAAGGACAACGCACCAGAGCCACGCGCTACCTTTATCAGCTACCTCATGAGCCCTGTCGTCACCCTGTTGATTGGCAACAACGACACCGAGTCCATCCTGACAGCACACCAAGCTCTCCTCGTTCGGAGCCCCTTCTTCAGGGAAGCTTGCGCCCAGTTCAGCGATGATGGCAGTGTATGTTCCTACCTTCCCTTCTCGGCTCCCTTGATCTTGCGCCGCCGCCCCTCCTGCTGACCTCTTCTCCCCCCCCCCCCCCCTCAGCCGGGCCAGGGCGAGCTGCTCAACGAAAACGTTGACGCCGGAGGCAAATTCCTCGAATACCTCTACACAGGCGACAATTACCCCCGGAAAATCCCGGGTCAGCGCACCCTCAAAATCGACCCCCCGGCGCCCGAAGTCGACGACACGGGAAAACAATTGGTCAAGCACGCGCGCGGCTACACCCTGGCCGAAAAATTTTGGGTCGACCGCCTGGGCACCCCCGCCAGCTCCAAAATTCACTGGGGCGACTCCACCGCCAAGGGCGAGATCGCCTACGCCCCCTACGTTTAACAGTACACCGCCAAAGACGACACCACCATCCGTGCCCCCGTCGCGAGGTTCTGGGCCGATCGCTCCCAAACCCTGGGGGCCGAGGCCGAGACCGAATTTAAGGCCCCTTGCCTCGAGGTCCCCCAGTTGGGGTACAATATCCCCAGGGGGTTGGTGCGTACAAACGGTGCCATTTGTGGCCAA